ATAAACCAACCTAATCCCCCCACCAAACAAAGCAAAACAAAAAGGCAGACTCCTCCTTGCATTTTCCTACCTGCTTCTTGGTGGAATGGACTGTTCCTAGTGTAGCAGACCTCTCTGCCCAGTTCATGCTTTGTGGTTTAGAACGCACTCTATCTGATACGAACATTGTTACCAGCTATTAGCATTTCTGTCTTTTATTTTTCCCCTTTCCCCCTAATGTTTAGTTGTGTCTCTTATAAACATAGTTGCATTTTTTGACCCAGGTAGGGAGCCACTGCCTTTAAACAGAATAATTTAACCCATTGCTATCTATATGGTTACCTTTGTTTATTCTTACTCTCTTATTTTATATGCTGCATTCTACTTCCTTGTTTTAGAGCTGGTTTAATCTCCTTTGCTTGAATCCTTGCTCTGCTGCTTTCACTAACCAGGTGACCTTGGATCTGAGACTTGTGCCTCAGCTTCCAGGTCTGTAAAATGGCATCGTAACAGAACCAGAACGAAGGTGTCGGGGAGCACAGGTCACGCTGCACGAATGTCTTCTGCTTGCATTTCTGCTGCTGCCCTTTATCTGTCTCTATGACTTTGTTAGGTCGGTTGAGTTTTGTTATTGCCTTACTTTTCTTGCAGTGGTTTGAAAGTCACTTCTCACTTTCTTGGGACAGTCCTCTCCCTCTGCTTCTATCTTCTTCTGACCTACCTGCCAGTTCACAATCACCTCTTCCACCATGTGTGGTCTGTAGTTAAACTCCTCCACTGAATTCGTAATTTTAGTAACTCTATTTTTGTTTTCAAATTTCCATCTATTCTTTTTTATAGATTCTGCTTATCTGATGAAAATTTCCATCTCATAATGTTTCCTTGAACATACATAGTTTTTAGAGTTACTTTAAAATCTGTCCAATAATGCCGATACCCTTTTCTCTTGTGGATTACATGTGTATGTATAGTTGTATATATAGTTACAGATCTATATAATATGTATTTATATACTGTGTATGTATGTAATATATAATTACACATTACATAATTATATTTATATAATATGTATATTTAAATGTATATATCTATATAATTTATATAATACTATATATTTATATAATAGATAATTGTATATATTTATATAATATGTATATATTTATGTAATATATTTATATAATAATACATATGTATTTATATGATAGCTAATTGATACAATTTCCCCCTTTGGTTTTGGATCATTTATTTCCTGGCTCCCTTGCATCAGGCTGGCAGTGGGAAGGAGAGCAGGTCAGCTGGGTCCAGTGTGGAAGTGAGCCGTCTGGATGCTGGGTTTCGGTCTTTGCGAGGGCTGATCCTTTACACCTCAGCCTTACTCCTTTGCTGTGGGACTCGCTGCTCCAGCAGAAGGTCTGGGTTATTATCAGAGCCTCCTACCAGTTATTCTTGCAGCAGGCTCTGCCCAGTTATTGTCTCCCCCAGCCTATGAGACTCAGAAGTACTGCTTAGTGTCTCAACTTCTTGTCCACTGTCTTTATTAGGGGCTGCACTGTGTCTGTCTCTTCCTCCTTCTCCTTCTGTCTGTGCAGAGGAAAGGCCATGTGAGGACACAGGGAGAAGGCAGCTGCCTACAAGCCGAGGAGAGAGGCCTCAGGAGACACCCACCCTGTCCACACCTTGGTCTTGGACTCCCAGCCTGCACAACTGCGGGAGAATAAATGTCTGTTTAAGCTGCCCAGTCTAGGGTATTTTGTTACAGCAGCTGGGCTGACTAACGCATCGTACTAATCACCACAAACCTCAAAGGGAGAATCTTTCTTGGGTCTTCACCCCTCAGAGAAAGTCTTCTCTGTTATGCTAGTGATCTGATATTTTCAAACAGATTTTCAAAATATTTTATACAGATATTCTGGTTATCCAAAACCACAGTGGTTTTATAATTTGTTTTTTAAAAACTTATCAACATATGAGCATCTTTTCCTGTTATCATTACTCTTTTATTTACACATTTCTTTCAATAGTGGCATAGACTTTCATTATATGAATGAACCATGGTTTAATTTCTTATTTTAGCACATTTAACTACTGTATTCTATCAATTCTAAGTTACATACTCTTCACATGTTAACAGGTCTGAAACAAGAATGTGTCTTCCATCCATAACCTGCCATAGCTTAATGTGTCTGTGTTAAATAAAACAATGTTATGTTTTACAGTTGATGGTGGAGGATGGATGATGGGTCCAAACACTCCCTACCGAAAGTCACACCACAGCCAGTCTTGGGGGTGGTTCTGGTCCCCATTGTCCTAGCATTGTCCATCTCTATCCTGGAAGAGGCCAGTCCCTGGAGACTCCCCTCTCCTGGAGGCACAGCTCGAGCTGGCCCTGGTACCTAGGAGTCCTCTGGTAGAGGAGACAGTCCAGACTCCATCATGAAAGGCACCAAACCCTTGGACCTGGCTGAGATGGAGGCTGGCTCTGACCAGAACTTTCAATGGAGACTTTGCCAGCCTGTGACACACCAGCTCCATTTCAGTAAGCCCCCTCCTCTTCTCCTAAGTGGTGCCTTTAGCCAAGGAGGTGAATGTTTTAAGAGTCAAAAATGGTTTGTGAAATTAAGGCCCATGAAAACTTGGCTCTGTGGGCTTTTGATGAAATGAGCAGATCTAGTCAGTTGGGTCTTACTCAGACAGGAGGGAAGCCATTCAGTCACTTAGGTTCAAATCTGGACCCCGCTACCTCTAGCTGCATGACCCTGTGCAGTCCACACCCACCCCCCAAACCTTCACTCCCTAATTGTCAAAACAAGGATCATGAGGGTCCCTGCTCCAGAGTGTTGTGAGCCTTGGGTGGGGTGATCCTAGCTCAGTACCATGCCTGGCACACCCTGAGTGGTCAATGTACGTTGGCTGTCCCTGGTCACTGCATCTGAAGGCGTTTCGGTTCCAGACAGGGACAGGGAGAGCCAGGGCCTCTGAAGAACAGCTGCCTCAAAGTCCTGGGGGACACCTGACCCTGGCCCCCGTTCTCCAGCACGTCTCCTGTGTCCACCTGAGTGCCCGTTTCCACCTGTCTTGAGTTGGGGTGAGGGGTCTAGCCCTGGGTTTGCCCCAGAGACAGTAGAGCACACTGGTCTGACCACCTTGCCTGTGTTCAAATCCCAGCTGTACTGCTTACCCACGCTGGGACCTCAGGTGCTTCAACTTCCTCACCTGTAGAGTGGGCTGTTGTGAGGTTCAGGTGCAGAGCCCTAGCATCAGGAGCAGAGTGTGCACTCCTGATAGGCCAGCAAAACGGGCACAAGAGGGCGTCGGGCACCCCCTCCCTACCTCCCCCCAGGTGCTGAGCTTCCGCTTCCAGAAGGCCCAAAGGGGCACTGCACAAGGGCAGAGGAGCAAGCCACAGAGCGCGCAGCCAGGCTAAGTGTGTGGGGAGAAGTGGATGGAGTGAGACTTTCCACTTCCCTGATGCCCCCCTGGAAGTGCCCTGTTTATGCCCCTGTCCGCCGGGAGCTCTGGGTGGAGCCTGTGTGGACTTGATAAATCAACACATGCCATGTGCCCTTTATGAGTGGAACTGCCAGGTGGGTCCCAGTCTTGGACGCCTTCTTCCTTCAGCCTGTCCTCATGACCAGACACCTGGCTCCTCGGTGAAGGCGAACAGAGCCTTTCCCAGCAGTGGGGTCGGCTCCCAAGACACCCCTCTCCCACCCATGTCCCCTGTGGCCACTGGAGGTAGTTCACCCGGTTGGCTTTATTTTCCTTGTTCCCCTCTAAGAAACACACTCACCATAGAGGAAACCAGTGAGGGCACCCCGGCTTGGCTGCTGGAACTGCGGTAAGTAAAGGACAAGGTGGGGGGACCAGGTCCCTGAGGAGCTGGACAGGCCATGCTCAGGATCCAAGATAATGCGCCAGGCCTGGTCCCTGACCCAGCACCTGCCAGGCCTCATGGCCTGACTCTGAGCATCCCCGAGGTCCCAGTGCCGCCCCCCAACCCCGGGTCCCAGCGTGCTTCCCCACCCTAGCTACCCTGT